CCGCATATTTTGTACTATTTGGTTGTGAATAATCGAAAACTTGTATATTCCAACTGTGACCTCGTGTCAACGAATTTGTTGGATGTTGTTGATAAGAATACGACCACGAGAGCATACACAGAACGTCTTGTGCAAATGCAGCAGCAATACATAGTAGGGTGGTACTCGGTCCTCTAATGACCGCAGTCCATGTTAACGTTAGCCGTCTCAATGCCTGCACGGCTAATCATGGTAGTAAATTTATATTCAACAGAGTCAGTCAGACTGTCGCATGTGAGTGAGACAGCGACGCCTCCACAGCCGAAGCGTTTTAGTTGAGCATGTCCATTCTCGTATCGAGGGAAAATTTTTACCAAGGTATTTAGAGTAGCCGTAACAGTGGTTTTGGTAGTAGCAACATAATTGCACACGGAGATGGATTTCTCACCCTAAATGCGGTGCGAATGGTTATTTGGCAGGGCAGAAACAGTTCTTTAGTATGCATTGTACTTACCGGTTTGATTGGTAATCCTTTGAAAATTCGGCATTCGCATTTGGAAACAGGTACCTGAACTAAAGACAACGCTCTGTTAGGTTTTGCATGTTGAAACCCTTTGATCATTGTTGTACATCGTGTTCCGCCTCACGGCTAACCGGATGAGAATAGTTTGGCTTGGTAGCAGGAGTGAAAGTTGTAAGGCCACATTGAGTCAAATGTACTATACATACGGCAATCGCACCTGTAAGAGCACCTTTTGTTTTAGGTAGAGTTTTGATTCTTCTATCAGAGAAAGGCGTTGATCGTAGAGATTCGGCGCAACCTTGAGTTATTTTCAAGCACTGCCATCTTACTGGTCCCAATTACTTGCTATACAAAAGCATTTCCGTATTTTATGTTTCTCAAACATTAGGTTAAAACTTTTCATGAAATCTTTCGATTTCGTGTTGCGTCATTGGAACTAATTATTTTGCGTTTTGAAAAATTGAATCACAGTTTTGGGGTAAGCGGTCTTCCACGCTGAAACACAACTTTGCTCATGCTCTTGTTAAAATAAGCGGTCATATGATGACCTTTTTGTGTAAGTGTATTGCCTTGGTATTTGTAAGAAAACATTAGTGCACTCTTTGTTCACGTTTCTCCCGGGAATCGTCCTTTTCATTTTGCTTTTTCCCTAAATATTTGCTTCAACAGTCATAAATCAGTATTTTTACGGCTCATAGTTGCCTGATTTTGCGTTCGTTTTCACGGATGCCTTAGCCTTACTTTAATGAACGACAAAATTAATTTACGTCTCTAAAGTCTTTGCATCCATAGTTCTTATATAGCTCCATACCCATTCACAGCAATTCTTTCAACGTTGCATACTTAATATACCTAACTGATCAACAAAGAAAATCGCCTACATGCTTTTTTCGTTTTTATACGCAGTATCATTACCGTTTCTAGTCTCAACAACTTTCGCACGTGCGATTTATATTTCCTCTGAGAAAAGGATGAGGCCTAGAAAGATCTTCGATGTTTTTTATAGTCAGGTCTTACCCCTTTTGCTGTGATCATTCAATTTTTTTAGAACGGCACATGAATCAGAAGTAACTCGGTCAGTTACGACCTGATTTTAGTCATGTTCCGTAATCTTTTATGTTCGTCTGTATCCTTCTGTCCATTCACTAAAACGAATTGTTTTCCTAGATACTCAATTCTCACCCGATTATAAAAGATGTAGCCAATGAACAATTAGTAATCTTGCACTTGAAAATGGTCTTCAACTTTAAAAAAACATTAAATCGATTGGTATAAGCACGCGAATAAATCAGACAAATTAAACTCTGATAAACGCTTAACCATGCCCTGCTGAGTTTTATTGTCACCCTTTCTGTCTTCTTCCCAGAACTCCTTATTTTGTAGAAATATAGTCGGCTTTCATACAGCTACCAATCCGTATTCATGCTGATCTTCGTTACGTTGATGGGCTTTGTGGCAGCTGTCGGAACGACAAGCATAGGGTGTAGGGACGAAAACAACAAGTTAGTCGACTGGTACGTCCTGAAAAAGAGTTGGACCCATGTGCCAAACAATACATAAACGTCAAATCTTTAAAAGTAATTGTTATTTCTGCTTAACCTTTTAGGTTTATCGCCTACAAATTTCCGCATGGCTTCTCCTACGCCTATATTACGCCCACTTCCCTCTCCTGGCGTCGTTCTCAATACCGCATGGACAACGATGGTGCCATCCGTTTTTCCTTTGAGCAAGTTTTCAACACCTCTAAGGACTCTCTTGTCCATGGCATGTACAATGATCAGCAATCGGACGTTCATCATTTAATAGGAAACGAGCCATGGTGGGGGCATATGAAAGGTTGGCGGATTTTTTCAAATGACGCTATAACTGTAACTCTTAATAGGAATTTTTGCATTTCCCGATAACAATTCAGGCTTTTGGATGATTCACAGTGTGCCTAAGTTATCTGAGAAACCCGACGCATTTGAATTTCCTCCCACCGCCCGTAATTACGCGCAACACTTTCTGTGTCTTTCATTGCCATTCGACGCTCTTGGTGATATTGGTGAGTCTGAAGAATATATCTATTTATTTTTGAATTTATTTTATCGCTTTCGCAAGTGTCCTGTCTGCTGTTTGTTGAAGTCAGCTGGTCTTAACGAAACCTATTAATTTGGATATCATTTCTTTCCATCTTTTCTCTTTTATCTAACGGGTACCCCTCTTCATACAATGCTTCGCTCAATTAAAACACTGCCTTAAGAATTTTCTAAACAAATTTAAAATGCTTCTATCCCCTTTGCCTATACCAAAAGACAATAGAAAATTAAATGGATCCGGAACGTTCATTTAGGTTCTCTGCAGACCCTTTTGACGTCTACCGTGTGCTGCACAGCTTACTGTACGCTAGATGGTTTCTTGCGCGATTACAGACTGGCGAAGTATCTATTGCACTCTTTACTTACTGACTGTACTGGAGACGGTGGCAAGAGAGATGAAAAACTAAGACGGTAAGTTAAACGGCTGCCAAAGGTAAACCTCCCGTCTAAGCGCGTAGTACACACCTGTCTCCTGCATGATGGATCAGGTTTTCACAGACAGGCGCTGAACCGGCTCCGAT